AGAAGTAATGTATGTTGTATTAATAGATAAGTAAATTTAAGTTCATCACGTGCGGTGTTGTTCAGCTGATCTGTTTAAAGGAGTTTTAAAAATGTCAACATTGAGCTACCAGGACTGAGCATTGAAGTCTCAAATAGCTAATTGTATTTAAAAGGTTAGGGTTGTAACGGTCTGAAATCCTTAACCAGTTAATGAGGTTAAAAATTAACCAGCAAATTAACTCGATCATTCATGATTGATTACTTGTGGAGACATAGTGAATCATATGATTTAATATTATTTCGCCCGAAAACACCATAATTTCGCAAGTAAATCGTTTTCAATATTTGCAGTTAGTCCTTTGGAATCATTTGCCAGGGTCTAATAACTTAAACAACTTAACTTACAACGCTCGCCCTTATCACATTTTGCATTCATACACCTTGAAAACCTTCCTTTAACATCTTCATGATAATTTCGCTTTCGCCCGTTTTAATTTCCGATCTTATTATTTTATTATTCAATTTTTCGTAATTGCGCAGTTTTAATTAATTAGTGTTTTATTGATTGGTATTGACATTGCGAAAGTATAGAGCGGCGACGTTGAGGCAACATTGATGATTATTAAATAAAACTTACCGTCAATATTTACTTCATAATTACACGATTAATTATTGTCCGATTCAGTTAGATTTAGACACGTAGTGGCCAAATTTGACCGATCATCATTACGAATTATGCAAAATAACGATGACTTAAAATTATGAAAAGAATTTCATTATCATTCTCTTTCTCATCAATTATACTAAATTTTTTTAAAAAATATGTTAGAACCATTTTTAAGAACCATGAATAAAAGGAAATTTGTTGACTTTTCATTAACAACATAATTTAACAAATCTTTATTTTTAGGCGAATTATACGTTTAAAAAACCTAATGGATAGAAAATTTATACAAACTTATTAGAAGACGAATTGTAACATTTATAGGTTTATGTCAAGGATATTTGAAATACAATTATTGTGTTTACATATTTTATGTTGAATACTGAACCAACAATTATATGATAATTTATGTCAAAAATAATAGATCACGTGAGGAAAGACGTAATGGTGATGCAAATATTTCAGCATAAGCTTCTACAAGGGAATAGTTTTTTATTGTTTCCGCATTTGGCAATATTATTATTATTCTGAACGAATATAAATGGAAATACCGGAATTTATGCAAAACATTTTTACAAAAAAATGTATATTCCAAAATATGATGGGAATATTCACCCAGATGAATGGATAAATGATATTCATAATTATTATAGAAAAGAAAATATTAAAGAAAATGTATATTTGTATTATGCAATACCATTAGTAGACCCTATTATCAAAATTCCAAGTAGTATTAATAGTTTTGAAAAACTTTGTAGCGCACTTAAGGATGACATTTCCTTTACAGTATTCAAAAATACAAATTTAAGGAAATTGCGATTATTAAAATACATTCCTGAAAGGGAAGGCGGAGAAACTTCAAAATTTATTTCAAATTTTCGCAAATTATGTTACAATGCTGAAATTAACGATATTGTGATACAAAATAAATACCTACTTCTTTCTCTTCCAAATGATTATTTTATAACTGAATTTTTAAGGCGTAATGAAAAAATTAATACTATAAATGAATTAATTAAAGAATTTGAGGAAATTGTTATGGATGAGTCAAATTTAATCAGAAATGGATCTATTGTAACTTTAAAACACGTATCTACAGGAAAATATTTAAGTTCAATTAACAACTCATGTTATACAACTGGAAGCAAGTCTCAATTGGTATTCCATATCATAGATATTTTGTGATAAATTTTTTTATTATTAATCTATAATGAATTTAACAAATCTAGGTTTTTGCGAACAATTTGCTTGATTCGAATGCTTTATGGAATATCACATTTACGAGCGGTAAAGAATTGGCTTCATACACCGATAATTATACTTATATTTCTTTACTACACAAAAATTCTAATATCTTACTTGGAGTTTATGAATGGAACACTTCTCCAGTAACTCAACACATCGAAGGTAGTTATTAATTTTTGTTATATTTTATTTAAATGAAAGGTTTAATATTAATGTATTATTTATTTAGTAAGTTGTAAATCAAACGATTGCTACCACTACAATTGTTGGAAGTTTAATAATAGTAAATTAGAAAATTATCAAGGATATTTGAAATCAAATGATGTCATTTATCTTAATACAATTAATTATAAAAGTCGACAAGTATATTTACGTAGTCATGATTTTCATTTTACTATTGAAAATGATACATTTCAAGAAGTTGCTTGTCATAGCGAAAGACTTGGTGGCAATGATGAGGTACGCGCAGAATTCAATTTTATTATTTAATTTGAAATATGTATATATTAAATTTATCCTCATTTCTTTTTTAGTGGTGTATCGAACTCATTAAGTAATAATATTTCTTAAATTCTTGTATAACCATTGTATTTCAAATCACCTATTAAATTTAGTTTCCAATCTTCCCTACCCCTTTGAATAAGCGCTGATTATTTGAAATTAATGTAAATGTCTGATTTATCCAGCCGAGTGAAATTATTTGAATATTACTTATGAAAAACATTTATTATAAATTTTTTTTTTATTTTCCAATCTCAATCAGCTTGAAATTTCGATTAATTAATTATTCTATCAATATATAAACTTCTTGAATAACATTTGTATTAATCAAATTTATTTAATAAACTTTATCAAATTAATTATTTTTTAATTCACATGTTAAATTTATAACAAATGAACTGGTAAAGTACCATTTAACTAAGGACAGGCAGTTCACTAACAACACGTACATCAATATATAAGGGTTATAAACTCGTACTATATTTTGCGATTCCAGATTTTTGATAAAATTTTATGATTTGATTAGAACAGTTGTATCTCATTTGCACTATTCAAAGTCTCGAAATTGGTGGTAAGTACCAGTTCATAAACGAAGAGTTCGGAAAAATATAGTTTTGTTTCAGCAGCTATTTTTATGTATCCAGTTCGTATAGGAAAAACGAATTTATAAGCAAAAGTTTGCTTTACAAGTTGTAAAGGTAATCAATGTTTTAAAATATTATGATAATGAACAAACTCAGCAGCTTCATGGTGACTTGGAAGCATCAGGTTTTAAACGAAAGAATCCTTGAATAAATTATATAACCCCACCAAAAGTCACTGGTAGTTACGAAAATGTATTAGTTAATCATATGAACTTTTAAAAATGTTACCTCTTTTTTTTTCATATAAAGACCTTTAAAAGTAATATACTTTGAAAAATATGAATGGCATTATCATGCGTTTCATTAAAAACAATCTAACTTATAATAAAAGAAGTATATGATTATTTAATATCTAGTAAAAATTAAAAAGGTTATTAGACAGATCAGTACATAATAGAATATAAAGCAATTCTAATTTTTAAGATATTATTTCAAATTGTATTGCAATTTTTGTTTTAATAATAATTTAAACCATTTAAAATTGAATTGGAGTGAACGAAAATCCCGAAGATCAAAATACCGAATGTACATAATCCCGAATTCAATACCTGAAAACTTTATCCTGAAATATTTTAATTTTGTTTTAATTTATTCTTTTCTTAGGATTTTTGATAGCATTCGGACTGCTACATTGAATAAATATAGGTAAATATTTTCAGTTCTATATTTATTATTATTATTTTGGTATATGTTCTTAAAATACCGAAGAGCCAATTTCGCAAACCAAATTTCTTTCACTACTATACCAAATTTTTAAGGGATAAATTATGTTGAACAAGTGATGAAAGGAATAAAATATAGGAAATATTGTAATATTTAAAACAACGGTTATAAATAATTTGCTTAAGAACCATTGAAATGGAAACAAAAAATAAATTTTAAAACAAGTATGTTATAGGTCATATTATAAAGAAAAAAATACTAGCAATAACGCTGCATAATAAATAATTTTAAATTGTTTGAAAGCCATAAGCATATCATGCAACTTCAAATTTCGTCAGACTTTGCTATTTTCCATGAAAATAATACATTATTTAAATTAATATTTTGTTAGTACTTTGTAAATTTCCTTAATTAATATTTGCGAGATTTATCGTTAGACAATTTTCAGTTCATAGATTACATTTCGAAGTCCCCGATTAACATTAAGATTTGTGATATATATTGAAGCGTATGATTATACAATATAGTTTGTTTTCATATATTTTAAATCTTATTCATAAATTTATCTTTTTGATTTATTAGCATATGAATAATTGTTATACTGTATTGATGTTAATTACGCTAATTATAGATTGAGAAATATCAGTTATTAAGTAGTAATTAATACATTAAATAAAATAAAATAAAATAATTAATAATAAAAACAATATTTGAGTAACAATAAAAATTTAGATAACAAAACAATAGTACTCACTCACCAACCCTATAAAAAAATATGTACAGAAAATGTTATCGAAAATGTTCGGGTGCATGTGGAAAATGTCCGGAAAATGTCATAATCGTCCGGAAAGTGTACCAAAACATGGTGGATTCCGGACATTATCTGGATACTACGGCAAATTCTGGACAAATTCCAGTATTTTTTTTTTCATAGGGAAAATTACGCTTTATTTTATAATAATAATTTCTTTCCTCTTAGTATGACTACATGCAAATTATAATTGTGGGACAAAACTCATTTTATGATATACAGTTTCGTCTTTCAATAAGTTTATCAATTTTTTCTAGTTACGACGATTGGTACAAAATTGTGAATTAAAGACTCACATATAACAAGAAGGTTCGTGATAAGCTTCACATTTCAGGTAATAATTGTAAAAGAATCTTATACAAACTGCCGAACTGCTTAATAACAAAAAATCAATTTTTATTTTAAAAATAGTATGTACTTGATCGGTTATAATTGTATATTATTTTTCTTTCCTTAATAAAAACGGAAATAATTATGTCATTTTATACAAGTACTATCTTTTAATTTTATTTCCCTTTTTATGGATGACGATAATAGCTCCCTCTTCAATTAATAGAGGACCTACAAAGGATAAACAGAAAAGTCAAAGAATTTTTGAAGTGGTAACAAAGGATATTTACGTTACTCTCCTTGGCTCTCATTTTGACGCTGTTTTAGGATAATTGTAAAAATAAATATAAATACGTTATCTATCTGATCTCTCACGCGTGAGAATGTTAGTTGGTTGCCTTATTAACAGTTACATTATTCCACACCTATTTAATAATCATTAACGATACTATTTGCTATAATTGTTTACTAAATTTATTTATCCAAGATTTTACTTTAATTGGCTGTCAATTATGTGTTCGATGTAGCAACCCTCGAAGCGATCGAACCCGAAACAGAAATCTCAAAATAAAAAATAATAATAATAATAATAAAGTTAAATGACCTACCTTTTGTTTTATCGACACAGCAATCGAATCTAAATAATAAATAAAGAAAAACAAACCACTTACTATTTATTCCATCGACAACTCCTGAAAGAAGACTAAATATACATAAATCATAGTAAAAATTGAAATAATTGGAAAAATAAATACCGACGCAAATAAAATACATTTTAGTTCGTTTATAAAGAAAAAAAATACATTATATTAATCAGGAACTAGACGAGCCTCATTTTTTAAAAATTTGACGTGTCGAAGTACAAATGTTAGTACTAAGCTCATAAGTAGAAAGTCTAAGCTAATAAAGGATGTATCGTAACCATAGAAGCTCGTATTGGAAAGTTGGTTCTTTATTACAAAGAAATTTTCAAAAGATTATACACCTATAAAATAAGTCACTATCACCAATGAATCATGCGTCCTAAGTAACCAAAATACGGTAGTGCTTTATTATTGTTTAACCTACGTTTTTTTTTAAAAAAAAAAAAAAAAAAAAAAAAAAATTGGTCATTATAAATTTAACAATTTTAACAAATATTCCATGTTCTGAGCTGAGCTAATAAATAATAGCAAAAATCAATTTATATGTTTTTTTCTTTAAATGAATGATGGTGCAATGTGTATTATTACCTCATATTGTACGCAAATAACTATTGATATTCAATCTTATAGGACTGTTCAATAAAATTTAATTAACATACATACGAATAAAATATTTTTATCTTTCATTGCTGCTTTTAAACGAAATCTGAGCAAATGACACTTCTTCATTTTCAACTCCTAATTCTAAACAATTAATAAATAATTTTTATCTTTATATACAAGAAATATATCACTTAACTTATATAAATTTATCAAGATACAGATACTGTAATTCATTTAAATTTTATATTTATTTATTTATTTTTTGCTTATATTATTTATAAAAAATTTGTTTCGCTTAACTTTCTTCTTCGCATACTTTTTCTAACTTAATCTGGGTTTAATACAAAATTGACAAACGACAGACACATTGCACGGATATCGAAATTTTGTGATGGATATTCGTTGACTCATAACAGGACCGTTGACCGATCGTAATTATCCTTCTATTTTATAAATAACAACTTGAGAATAGTTCTGAACCAAATTTTTTAAAGATCAAAAACAAGCCCCCAAGATAGTCAGAATATGGTAAATATAAAAATTTTTAGAGAATTATTGCAATCTTGCTTGTAAATTTCTATTTTTTACTTTTGTTTCAAGCCTTTAAGAACACAATAAAATACTCTCTGCAAGATTAAATTTAGAATCTTCCGATTCTTCCAATTTTTTATATGTTTCTTTAGATCTTCACAATATTTTATCGCCTTTTCGATACATTTCTGTTGACCATTTATTTGATTTATATTTTATATTCCTTTAGTTTCACTCGTAATATTTTCGCTTTTTCAGTACTTTTCTGTTGAACTTTTTTGAATGTCAGCGAGTTATTTTATGAATTTTGTAAAGAGAAATAAAAAAAATGGTTCTTGAAAGAAATATTTGGATGAATAATTTGCCATTTATATAAGAACTGAGCGCAATACAACATAATTATTATAAATATTTTCTTTAGATAAATATTATGTAGACTAATAAAATCATTATCATATTTTTTTTTTTTAGTAACCATTTTTTTGTTAAAATAACAATTAATTGATTATTTAAAATAATTTTTCTTATCTATTATTAAGAATTGAAGATAAAAATAAAAATATCAAACAAAAAAAGGTTTACAGATAAGAGAAGCAAAAAAATAGTTTTTAAACATTTAGGAACTAAAGATAAAACTAAAGTAATTAATAACAAATGAATTAAAAATACTTTACTATCATATTCAAATAATTGAAATAAAGCAAAATATTATAAGATATACAAAAAAAAAAAAAAAAAAAAGTAAAAAAAGATAAGTAAATTTATTCTGAGATAGAAATAATTAAAAGTCAAGTCTCTCTCTTTCAAATTAAAAAAGCCATTATATTCTTACTAATAAGTAAAGCAAATAACAGCAAAATACTTTGCAGAATTTTTAAAATCGAAACTATAACAGAAAATTAATTTTCTTTACATGATGAATCCAATACTTACATATCACCCTGAACTTAAATAACTGGTAACATTCATTTTATCTTATATTATCAGTTCTAAATATTATTATATTGTAAATTAATTTGTGAAGTAAATGATTTACAAAGTCTTGGAACACGACGACGTTTAATATTTCATATATACTTATATTTATACAGTATTTATCCTTAATGGTTCAAAAGTTTCGTATTCGTATAAAGAAGTCGGTCGCTATGATACCGCCTGTTACGTCAGTTCCCTTACTGCGAAATTTAAAGCGTACTATAGAAAGCAATAAAATTTTACCACGCCGTTTGTATCAGATGATTGGAGTTTATGTTATTTTCCAGTAGAGTTTATTTTTAACGATCCGTCATTAGAAACCGACCGTAAGGTAAATAGAATGAATGTTGGGTTCACAACAAACTCTTTTTATCTGCGTGTTCTTCTAGAAGTTCCTGGTAAGTGAAAGTGACATGCAAATATATGATCTTGCGATTATTTGTGATAATTCTTTTGAATGATTTCTATATCGGCCTCGTTGATGAAAAAAATTTCTTTTTTTTATTAACCTTTTAATATAAAAACGTTCACTCACAGCACAGACGAATACTTAAACAACAACCAAAATTATATTTTTTTTTATTTAATACTCTCGATAATAACATGACTTCTTCTATATTTAACATTGGAATATATTCGATTACACCTGAAGTTACATTCTCAGTATATTATTTACTATTTACTGTTCAGAATTATCTGGCATGATCTTGAATTAATGATACTCCTTTATGAAGAAACGTTGTAGAACCATAAAAACCATGATGTAAACGGTTAACGACAAAATTAGGGTTGATATAAATTCAAGCCTATTTTACTGAAATTGAGTTTCTTTGCTTATTAAAATCAAATTATTTTTAAAATTTAGCGAAATTTGCATTTATAATGTACTTTATTAAACAAATATTAATTTTCGTATCTTTATAATTTTCATCTTTCATTGGAGTTATCCGCGGATACATTTCATCAGGACCTTAAATTATGTCGCGTGAATTTCCGCATCGGAGAGCGTTCGCACATTCGTCGTCTTTTCGAATACAAAAATGATGAGACTACCCTAACGGAGAATAACTGCAAAAAGTGTTTTATGAGACGATGAAATCCAAACAAAACTCCTACAATTCAGGAAAATCACGATTATTATAATATGATGATTAACATAATTGGACCTGTTCACCGGTCCATCGTGTTATTAATTCGAATTGGAATGTTAACATATTTATAGAATTAGCTTTTGAAGTTATTTGAAAGCTTTTATTTTTAATTCGAATTATTTTAAGAGCCTCTTTATCGTAAGTTATTTTATAATTATTATTATTGATCATGTGATTTAAAAACTTTTAATATAATCAGATTGGTAAAATAAGAACGAAAGTAAGATACTTTTTATAAAATAGTAAATTAATCATTACAGAATGAAGAATTAAAAAATTTATCTTTGTTCGACCCTAATATAAGAAAATTATATTATAAAATTGGTTAAATTGATATTTTTATTTTATTTTGTTTAATTATTTTCTTGTTACATTTTACCACTATAATATTTTTAATTTTTATGTACTCAATCAAAGAAATTAATTGTTGAAAAAAAATAAATTTTTTTTTACAATTTTTTTTTTTTTATGTTAAATATCTTAATTAGCTTCACAAATTTCAGATATGCAAAAAATACTATTAAGCTTTTTCTTAATCATTTTTTATTAAGATTCATTAGGAATACTACCACAATGTATTTTTAAGTTAGCAATAAATAAGTATTTTTCATCACTTTGTTTTCTCAAAAATATGTCACGTCATTCTGTCAGGGAAGTTTAAAAAGTTAGTTATACCAAGTCAACTTTATTTTCCAAGAAGGCTAATAGATGAGGACAGGTAAATATATACATGTTTATTACAGCTAATTTCAAAATTCACGGGACGGACGATCGATAAAAAAACTCGGTAAAACAGTAATAAAATTTTTGAAGAAAAAACATTATCGCTACGTTCAGATAAGTGTTCCGAATATACTGACATAATTTTTTTTACCCTAATAAAATGTGGTTGGCTTTTTCATATCCTTATAAATTTTCTCAGAAAGTTTCAGATATTATCGGCTGTCCCGTGACTTATGAAATTAGTTGTAACTAGTTAACGGTTTTTATCACGTGATACAGATATTAAATTTTATATTAATTCGTTTTGCAATTGCTTATCTTCCAATTTCGCAACTCTAGCCTTAAGTTCAACATTTTTGACCTTACAGCTGTTCCAGGTTTTTAACTGATCACATGCACTTTCAAAACTCGCGTCTTGACGCGTCTAGTATATATACATCTCAATTCCCAAAAAAATTTTAAGCAAAATTTTTGTGTTTAACTTCTCAACTTCCATTTCAAAAGGTAATATTATTTTAGAAGAACAAGAATAGCACAAAAACATAATGACAAGTTCAAAGGTTTATTTCCTAAATTAAGTTTAACAACTTCGTTCTTAATACAGCTGACGTTTCAAAAAACAATAAATAAGCAAGTTCACCACGTTCTCCTACCACAAAAGAACTACCTCACAATCTTCTTTATGTAGAACATCGCGTACCAGTACCATTGCTTATACAGTTAGTCTCACACCTTTAGTTTTATCAAATATAAGTTCTTTGAGCGTAATAGATTTGCTAACGTATTATATTAACTTTTCCTTTTTTATGTGTATTAAATAGGCCAAATACAACTACCAACAAGTTTATTAAACAATGACGAATAACTATGATGTTATAGATGATAACTATGTACAAGTACCTAAGAATATCATAATTCTTCAAGATCAATTTGCAGTAATTAATAATTTATCAAAACAGTATACAAATTCAAGACATAATTTTATACTGCAAAAGGCATATCTTTGTCAAAGGAAAACAATTGGATTGCTCCTTTTGGTATATACAAGGAAACTTGCCATGTATGTTCTTATTATAGTTATATGTTTAGGTTACGTCTGAATATTGAAACATCATATTTAGGTTTCTGCATTAAATGTTAGTGCATTAGCCGTGATGTGAAAGATTGTAGAAGCAGTATTCATGAACTCCCATTTAAGCAAAGATATGTTACTCCAGAACACTTTTAAAATCATTTGGGTGAGTCAAAGATTGATACATAGAATTTTCTTTATAATTCACATTCCTTTCTGTAATAAGAGTAAACTAAATACTCGAGATGCTGGGTCAGCAATGTATTTTTTTTTACTTATATTATAAAATATTTTAATTATATAATTTCTTTTTCTTTCTCATAGCAAAAGCAAAAAAAGATTCAGTTTACTGGGCCAGCAAAATTTTTATTTCGCTTTTGTTATTAATTATCTTATAAAAATTCATTTGGGTTGCTGGGCCAGCAGGGTGAATTCTTTTAAGATAATTTGATTTGCTTAATTAAAAAAATTTGCTTGCTTATTGGTTTGAACATATGGGCGGATTTGTCTATTCAGAATTAAATAAAAATTTTTAGAATAAATCACACTCAAAATAAATTGATTTGAAAAGTTTTACTGTGTCTGTAATTGTATTTTTTCTGTCAATCTCACGTTTGTAAAAACTAAGGATGTTAAAAGGCCCTTAAAAAAATTTTGAAGTTTTAAAATTACTAATACTAGAAGGGCTTATCAGGAGAATTTTTTTACATAAAATTTATGATATTTTTACGCAGTTTTACCACGGTGACTGTGTTTTATTTGATAATTTTAGTTTCGCGTAAAACCCATTTCTTACATTTCACCTTGCCAGTCTGATAAGTAGGTTTTTATTTAAATATATATATCAATAAAAAAGAAAAAAATTACAGCTGTTTTCAAAATATACGGGACACGCGGCAAATTTAAAAACAATAATAAACACGTGACATCTGATTTACGAATTATTTATTTTGCGACGTTTATTTTTCTTCTTACGTTGATATGCTTTATATATGTTATAGTAAATAATGTTGAGTGTTATTTTTACAATTTGCCGACTACCCGACCATCAAAAAACTCGGCATTAAAATTTGCCGAGTGTCCCGTATATTTTGAAAACAGCTGTAAAATTTTTCATATACATATTTAAATTTTAACTACGTAATATCCTTGGAAGCAATGATGTAATAAACAGTCACAAAAAATAAGTTAATAAATCATAATATATTTTAATATTACTCTAAGTTTTGTTTAGTGAACCGTAAGGGTCGGGTCGGGTAGGGTTTAAAGCATATTCGAACTCGAACCCGTTATTAATTACAGAACCAAATTCGACTCGGCCCGATCATTGTTCGACTCGGACCCGATTATTGTTTAACCCGGATTCGACTTAATTTTCAAGTGTAATATTAATGCCGAAAATAAAAAAGTATCATATATAGTTTAATTTATTTTTAAAATTTATTTATTTTTTTTTTTACAACTTTTTCCACCAGGATTTTAAGTACATACAGGCGCAAATTGTTATCAGATCGGTTCGCCAGAAAAAGCTCGTTCTAGTTGCTTTATAAAAAATGTATTAGTTAGTGTTTAATAATCAAGATATTTTTTTTACCTGTAATTGTCACTCCGCAATGCTTTTTGTTTTCTAGAAGAAGTTGTACTATCGGTAACGTCGATATGTTCACTCATTTAATTATTTGTTAAAAATTAAAATCACGTAATGCAAAACAAAAAAAAAAATTCTACCATCCAGGTCACCCGGGTCGACAAATACAAAATCAAATCCGATTCAAGAACGAAACCCGACTTGTTGAATTTAATTTGGGTCTCATTAAGAATCCGACCCGAACTAAAACTTGATTCGTATAATAACCGGGTTGATTCGAACTAAAATTAAAATATTCAAAAAAAAAAGATCTAAGAAATGATTTTTTTTTGTTTGGTAAATAATTAAATTTATTTAATATGAAGATCAAATTCCGAAAATCGGATCTTAAAATTGGATATACGGTCAGTAAAACACAACTTTTGGAAGCGAATCAACTCGAAAGAAGAACTTAAAATAGTGCAAAATATGAAAAATAAAATTAAATCATCAGTTATTGTGCCCCGAAGCATTCCATTTATAATAATAATAATAATTTAATAAAAAAAAAACTTTACCATTGCGATCCAACCCGAAAGAAATAAAAAAAAATTACTGATAAGATAAAATTAAAATAAAACTAAGTGGTTAAGCTCAACCATCGAAATCCGTCAATCATCTTGAAACGTTTTTTTGAAAAATTATTTTTTTTTTTTATAAACAAAAGAACTAAAAAAAAAAAAAAATAAATAATAAAATAAATAAATTTAAAAAGTAATCAATAAATGTAATGAATGATTTGTATGTGGGATTTTTCGGTATTGCGCGCGATTGAGTAAGTATTTTAAAAATAAACCTTAATTATTATTTGATATTTTTAGACGGTGTCGGGGCGCAGCGTCGAATCGTTGCATTTTTTTTCTATATTAAGCTGGTTGCAAAGCTAAAAACGTCTAACTATATTTGGTAATAAGTCAAATCATTTGAAATTTTTGGAAACGTTAAGATTTTCAGCATTTTACTTTAATTAACACGATATTACCAATAACGAAAGTTTTTTTTTTTTTTTAAAAAAAAAAAAAAAGAAAACGGCTTTACAGCGGTCAAATGCCGAAGTGATCTTTTAGGATTTATATCTCAAATGGTATATCTTACGTAAATGATCATTGGCACATTTAGCAGCTCCAACTGCTCTGAAAGCTGATCATAAGAATTATGGATCTGTAAATACAGCGATTTATTGAAAAAAGTTTGTCGATAATTTTTATGTAAATTTCTATCTTAATAACATTTACTATATTTTTTTACGTATTAAGAGTCCACCAACTTATGTGTTGGTTATCATATTATGAGTTACCTAAACTTTCTCATCTGGTATGGAAATGATGGGAATGATCTTCTCTCTCCGACAATGAACCTCACATTTTCAACATGAAAAGGAGTTTTTTAAACATGTTTGAAATGAGATTGGAAGCGATACTGAAGCTCGAGCTTTATCCTAACTGACAAAAATTCAGTCAATATAGCTACACTCCCCGGTCAAAAGTATTGGACCACGTGATTTTCGTTATACTAATTGGCGTAATTTTTGCCGATTATAACTT